CAGACCCATCTCAACAAAGTGTCAGCTGATGACAAGTTTGGAGTTCCATATTTCATAGTTACCTAAATTTGCAGCCTATAAACCACATTTCATCATGGATTCACTTTCCAAATTCCACAGGAAGACCGTTAGCCTCTGGGGAGAACATTGGGACCTCCCAGCATGATGCTAGACTCTGCTAGAGTAAAGCTTAGGTATCCCATGTAAATAGCTGCTAGGTCTTGGCTGAAGGTCAATATCAGGGTCAAACGAACTATCAGTGAAAACACATACAGGTACATGCTTTTCTGGATCTAGACGCAGGTAATGCAAAGAAAGGGATCTAGTTAAAATAATTGCTACATGAGATGGTTATTACTACAAGCCCATTTCAAATCTGTCATACTGCATACTATTTAATATGACTTAAAATGTTTCTTAATGTAACAGTTTCTGAAGTTGAAGGTTTTCAAGTTACAGTCTACATATTCTGCATAAACTGTTGCCAGTATCTTCAACAGGTAGTGAAGAATACAGCTTATTGACAGTCAGCTTAAATTGACTGTGCAAGACCTACACTCCAAGTGGAGCCAAGAGCGCAGACAAATAGAGGCTGAAAATATCTCACATGGGTGACTACTCTGGATCACAGGCAGGAGGGTATGTTCAATCTGACATTCCAAAATCCACTTATAAGGAGTTCTCACAGCAAATGCTGACGCTCAGGGTATTTTTTAAATCCATTGCACAGAGAAGGCTGCCTACTTGAAGCCAGTATTTTTAAGCATGATCACAAAACTTCTAAGCACAAAGAAATTGAGGACACTGAATCAAAGCAGAGGTGCCTTATTAGAACATGTTTACATAACAGAAACTGCAGATTAAGACTAGCTTTAGAAGAAATTTGCTCTTCCAGAAAAGGCCACTAGTAGACAAAAGGCATTTTTGACAGTTAATATAGGTGTCTCCTAGCCCTATCCATTTGGTCAGCCAAAAAAAAAACTGTGCAGAATGGTCAACAAGGCTTCATGCTGTCCTTACCTAACCTAGAAATTCCATCTAAGGCAGGTTTCATTTTCTTTGCATCTTTATAGTGGCCCTATTCAGTGATCTCAGTTACTGTGTTCACTCTGCCTCAAAGTTGTAAATAAAGAGTATGTCCTCCCCCTCCAATCTGTTCTTCCAGACAAGCCTTCATTTGAGATTTCTGTCTCAACTTTCCTCTTCAGGGTCTTCAGATTTTAGGCTTTTTCTTTCTCACCTGTACATAAATATGCCACAGATGTTTGACTTAAAGTTGTACTGATCTAACTAAAAACAAGTCCCACTACACAGGTGGACAAAACATTGAAGTAAAATATATTGATCTTTAGAATTCTTTTTTAGCAATGTGACAAAGCTTTCATTATTTTATCATTGCATGTCCTATATTACATATCAAAATATTTTATTTTTTTTTTTTCAGAATTTCATGTTAAGAAGAGTATTAGATTTGTTTTTCTATCATATGACTGGAGGAGGCTATGCAGCCTTGGTGTATTGACCCCGACCTCCTACAGACTTTGTTCACTTTAAAATGTTTACATATTTGAATTGTGATGGTTTCTTTAACTTTCTATAAGTAATTTCTTAAGGCACTTAAGCTGATGACCTACTTCATCTTGGGAGTGGTTCACAAACTGACATAGAGGAGTAGGTCCTTAGAAGAGAAGACACCTCAAGGACAAAACCTGTATTGTTCACCACTGTAACACCCACTTGCGGAGACTCTCATGTAACTGTGGAGAGTCAGCTACTGACTCCTATTTCGAAACTTCTACCATCCTATCTGTCTGGAATCCAAATGCTACTTTTCAATTTGAGAACATAGGCCAGCTATCTAACATTTCTCCTAAGAGCCAAATCCACAATCCAGGTATGTCTATGTAGGTTCCAGTTCCAGCTACCACCATAAGCTAGACATACCTTTTCTCAGGAAAAAAAAACCACACCATAATTATGAGCAACTGAGCTTCTGCATGACCTTTTCAAGCATATAGTCTCATTTACTCAAAGGACAAAACAAAGATAGTCAGAGATTGCTTTATAAGTAGCAGGTCTAAATACAGGACTTCTAAGCTTATACATCTTGAAAGCCCCAAGGGCCCATCAGTCAGCAAGAAGACAGGAATATTTCCTCTTCCTGCTCTTGCAGACAATTTCTGCCTAAGTAGGCTGTCAAAAAAGAAAAAGCATGCATATTTACTTTAGCTTCTTCTGTTCTAAACCTTCCAGTCTGTCTATCAAGCAAGACCCACCAGATGACCACAGATAATTCCACTGAAATTTGAGTTCACCAAAAAAGTGAAACACCATGGGAAAATAATGTATGACCATATAACCATTAAAGCAAAAAACAGAGTTGCACTCTGCAGCCAACTTGCATATACCTTACAACATCAATCAGTATCAATCAACTAGATATAGCTAAATACACAACTCATCACTGATATATTCTTAACCATTTGTATTTGAAAATCAAATGCAGAAAAAAAAAACAAACATGACTATTAGAGATACTAAGATAAAACTGAGATCCCAAAGAGAATTTCATAAGCCTGAAGACAGAAGCAGCAATATGTATGTGTCCTGGGTTCAGCAGTAGCAGTCATGTTTCTCCTTCGTGGTAGCTGGAGCAGTGCTGTGTTTTGACTTCCAGACTGGGAACAGTGCTGGTGATACCGATGTTTTCAGTTGTTGCTGAGTGATGTTTACCCTGACCAAGCACTTTGTGAGGCTCATGCTCTGCCAGGGAGGAGGGAAAGCCGGGAGGAAGCAGAGATGAAGCGCCTGACCCAGGCTAGCCAAGGAGGTATTCCATACCACAGCACGTCATGGCCGGGGTGGGGGGTAACTGGGAGTTACCCGGAAGGACACGGGCTTCCGGGTGGAACTCGTTTCTTGGCCAGTGGTATCGTATTCTCTTCCCTTGTTATTTTCTCTTATCATTGTAGTTGATAGTAGCGGTGGTGATTTGTGTTGTACATTGATTGCTGGACTGTTCTTGTCTCAACCCGTGGAAGTTGCACCCTTTCGATCCTCCTCCCCGTTCCTCCGGGAGAGGGGAAGGGGAGAGCCCTGAAGGGGTGGGGGGGGGCCTCGATTGCTCGCAGCCCGGCACCACTCACTGGGAGTGAGTGAATAAGCTGTCTGGCTAGGGTTTAAACCACAACAGTATGGTACAATGACAGTTCTCACATAGGAGGACTGCTTATCCAATTTAATTGCTCTATTGTACCTTCTAGAGGGACTGCCAGCCAACCCCTCTTTCTTTAAAAATTGTAGGAAAGATAGAAGGAAACACAGCTTTCTTGCAAGAGTGAAGAACATGCAGATCCAAGCTGCTTGCTCTTTTTCTACTGAACTGATCTTAGTATTACTGTGAAATAGCAGCAATGCAGCAGAATTTGGGGAGTGGTAAGCAACCGAGCACAAAATGTAGCCCACTTTCCTTTGTAATCCCTGTATCTAGATGAATAAGAATACCCAATGTCAGAATAGGCTTAAAAAAGCAGCTTGGCATGTGTGAAGTTATCCTATTCAAGAATTAAGGATGCAGAACTTGGAATGAGCCATATTATCCTCCAAATGAAAAATACAATGTTTTTGCCTGCCATGCTATCAATAAAAAAAAAGTCCAAGTTTATGAAGTTATTTATGAAGCTATTTTTAGCACATTGTGGTGAGAAATACTTTTCATTGTTACTGAACTATTGTTTCCATGGAAATTTTCTCACTAAACTCCTGTTTTATTTGCCCTTACACAGAAGAACAATTCTTTTAATGTCTAGTTACATAGTTACAATCAATTCAGAAATCTCACTGAATTCCTTAGTGGCTCTATGAACCAGGAAGGGCCGAAGGAAGAAAAAAAAAGAGAGTAAGGGAGAAAGGATGGGAGGGAAGGGAGAAAGGCAGGAGAAGAAGTAGAAGAAACGAAGAGAGAGAGGAAGCGTGAGAGGCCTGCTTCTGAATACAACTGATTATGCTCCAACACCTTACTCCAATCTCTTCAAAAAAAAACAAAATAATAAAAGAACTGCTATAACTAAGCAGTCTTCTCTGCCCTATACATGGAGAAATATATATATAAAACATATATATACATATATGTGTATACATATAATATATATACACACATGTCCTATACATGTCTGCTATACATGGAGAATAACCCAGTTACAATAAAGCTGCAAGCAAGCAGGCAGTGGCTGGAAGAAAATATTGAACCAAGGAAGAAAAGAGATCCTGAGATTCAAGAAAACACAGAAGCAAAGCCTTAAAGATGGTAAGGTCACATAACTAATGTAAAGTATATCAAGTAGATCTTTACATAAAGGTTTGAACCCTTTCCTCCTTAATCTAGTTTTGTTTACTGAGACTATAAAATTTTGCAGATTGGCAACTTCTTAAGACTATAGGTTTCAAGTGCCTGCTATGCCTTGAAGTGCTGTGGAGAGCACTCTGAGCAGCCTCATTCTCCTTTCTAAAAGCTGGGAGAGGAGAGCTCCTTATTATGGCCAGAACTATGTGGTAAGCATCCTAAATACAAGTGTGCACCAGCCTAAAAAAGGGGACAAGTTTGCCTCTTGTTAGCTGTGCAGCCAGGCATGAAAGCTTCATGCCTGTATGGTTGTGGCGGGTTAACCCTGCCTAGACACCAGGTGCCCACCAAAACACTGTATCACTGCCTTCTCAGCCAGACAGGGTGGGGAGAAAATACAATGAGGAAAAAATTGTGGTTCAAGATAACGGCAGTTTAAGAAAGCAAAAGTAAAGGCCATTTGTGGAAGCAAAGGAAGACAGAAGATTTATACTCACCATCAGCAGCTGTCCAGCCACTTCCCAGGATGTAGGGCTTCAGCCTGCATAGTGTTACTCCATAACACAAACATCATAATAGCAAATGCCCTCACATCCCCCGCCTCAGCTCTTACTGCTGGGCAGATGTCCTGAGGTATGTAATATCCCTTGGGTCAGTTGGGTCAGCTGTCCTGACTGTGTCCCTTCCCAACATCTTGCCCTTCTCCCCAGCCTGCTGGTGAGGGGGAATGTTGGAGGCACAAGATTGATGCCATGTGAGCCCTGCCCAGCAGTAGTATTATCAACACCTTTCTAGCTACCAGTACAAAGCACAGCACTATGAGGGCTTCTAGGGGGAAAATTAACTTCAGCTCAGCCAGACCAGTACAATGGTAAAGTCTGATACTTCATACAAACTGATCAGTCAGACTGTGCCTATGCAACTGAAATGTTGGGCCAAGGGTGGAAACCTTTGCTGGGAACAATTTTAATGCCATACAGCACAGGAATGCTACGCAGACAAAACAACCACATCAGGCCAGGGATACATAAGCTATTACAGGATGCATTTGTGCAAGATACATTTCACTAGCTGCAAGTTCTTAATATTTCCTGTTTGAAAATATTTTACTTGCTCATATGTGCTTCCCATATTTCTTTTTTTACCTGAGACCACCCATCACACATGACAATTTAAAAAGTGGTGTAAAAGGGTTTCCAGCAAGCCCTATTAGAACTTGGGCAATTCAGAAAACTGACTGAGAAAGTATGGATTTTTTTTTTTCAAATTAACAAGGAAATTAAACAAGAAATTAAATAAACCAAAGACAATATATCACAAAACAAGTAACTTGAGAAGTGCTATTTAAGCCAGAAGTTATATTCCACAGGTAAATAGTAACTGGGCTAAATGACATGTAATAAAAGTACTAAAGTCTCATGAGTGAGACTTCTTTCTTCTCTATTTTAAATATATGATGAAATGTGACAGGGCCACTGTTTGTGGGAAAATTGTGAAGTGTGCTGATGAGTTAAGCATGTAATAATGAGGTTATGAATTCCCAACATGCTGACAGAAATTTATGTGCCTGAAAAAAACATTGCAGAGATGTGTCTATGAGTTTTCCCTTCATCTTCTTTCATTTCTTTTTTTCCTATGATAACTGAACATATGGAGATTAATTTAAGTGTGGGAGTGACAGTGTGGATGCCTAATTAATTGCCCTAGAAAAAAAATGTTTCTGCCTTACTCATAGAGGCCATTTGGCTGAAGAGAAGCCTTACATTATCAAAATCTGGACATAATATGCTGTATTTGATGTAAAACTGAACAAAAGGCAGAAGAACTTAGTTATGAGCCTGGCTTAGTCATTAGCCAGGATTTCAAACTGCAATAGGTAAGCTGCGATGTCACGTATGTGTGTTGGTTACTGCTTGTCAGCTACTGAAGAACTGCAAGTATGAACAGGTACAAGTAAAACAGTGACAAATTTATACATAAATTAAATGTTATGGTCAAATAGACATACAGGTGAGTTTTCCTTCTCGCCTTTGGCAGAAGATGTTTTCAGAAGAGGTAAGGCTGAAGTAGAATGTGTTTTGTTCTCCTTATATGTCTCAGATGCATAGAAACTGAATTTACATTTCTAAGATTTTGGGCTCTGCCTTATTTTCTCCTTCCCAACAGTTTCCCCATAGTATAAACAATCAGGTGGGTAATTTTTGGTAAAGAATTTCCTGAGAGAACTTGGTGCCATGTCTCCTATACTACAGGGTTTTTTTTCTGAAGAAGAGTTGATAGATGCTGTCATTACACTGTATGTGAGTCCCCTTTTCTAAGGGGAATATACACAAAGGATTTTCAAGTTGTTAGGTGGGAAAGGTGTTTCATAGATAAAGCAGTTCAACAACAACAAACTAGGAGAGAGTGCCTCTGAAAAAACATATCCATAGTATGCAGCAGTTTCTGTCAGATAGATTGCAATGAGGATGTAAAAATTCATTTGTGCCACAGCACCTCATACCATTATACAAGTGCCTGATTACGAATTTGATGAGTAGAAATTGTCCTACAGACAGGACTCTTGAACCACTATTTAACTTACTAGTGATAGACTACATAACTTAGCAGTAAAAGACCACAAAACTTAAGTCGAGTGCGGTTAAAGGAAGATAACCATCCATCAAAAATAGAAGCTTGAATTCTTCTCCTTTAAAGTGTCTCAATGTTATCCTGCAGAGGCATAGCCCTCTTAGGTTTATACTGGCTATGAAAGACAATTTATATCCCATTCAAGTCTTCAGAGGCAACACTATTTTTTCTCAGGTTTTTTTTTTTCTATTTCCAAAGGATACCACCTGACAAATCAAATGTTTTGAACCTTGCAAGCCTGACGTCAAACATCCAGAGTTCAGAAGAACATTTAAGCGTGCATTAAATAAGAGAATGAAAGACTGCAATGAAAAGGCAAATAGTTTCACTTAACAACTGGCAGCAATTCAGTGGACAAAAAGAAAAGGATATATCATGGAAACCTTTTGTATGGCTAAATCAAATTGTTTAATTGCAAGGTAGTACTATCATTAAATAGGGACTATCAATTCTATCAAACTGTATTCATAAAAATATATCCCTGTTATTATCTTGTAAAATGAAATTTAATTACTGAACAATATATGAAAACTAAAGTGTACCAGAGGATAACAAATCTCTCTTTGTAGACTAGATTTTATCTTTAAAAATAAGGATTGTAAACTTTATTAAGGAAACTAGGATTTTAAAATGTACAGAACTAACTGATCTTATACATTGCTGATACATATTTTCTTTCACTATATCATCTGTTTCTTGAAGCAATATTAAACCCATTGTTAAGATAAATATTAACCATGGACAAAAGCAAATATCAGGGAAGACAAGAATAAAATGTGGATACCTTTCCCCCAGCTGTTCTTTAGACTGTTAGAAGCTTGACTCTGCCATGTTCATTCTGGGTGAATAATGTTTTATTTATTTGGCTACTAAACTGGTACTGGCATTTAGTGAACTAGTTTTTTCTAAAAGCTGTTGCATTTATAGTCCATTAGCCCTTTTTAACCCAATAAAAGATAGCACAAAAACATACACAAACATTTTAGCTCATCTGAATCCTCATAAACCTTTGATAATGTCTTCCACAGTTCACACAAATATCACCTTCTACTCCTTCTTGCATTTGATTTTGATAATGTGAATCTTCTTCATCAGGGAAACTGATTATATTTTAAGCTTTTTTGGTTTTGTAGTCAGATAAATCATAATTACTGCATAGAATACTATGATAGTATAGGAACACTGTAGAAGAATAAAACAAAAGCACCAAATCCTAAAAATTATTTCTTCAAATACATTTAATATATAGCAAAATATAACTATTCTATTAAGGTTATAGTAATTAAATAGATCCTACATTCATCAGCTAAATGTACATAATTTAGAGATAACAATGGAAAAGCAAGCCAAAAATAGAAAACAAATAAGCATTATCAGGAAGGAAGAAGTATTGTATAAGCAGCATAGAGAAACCTCATGAGTCACATTTAAAAAAAAAATGAACCAAAAAATAACTGGTGTGACTAAGGCCAAGTGGAAACAGACCATGCCATTGATGTTTATATAGATAATGGTATAAAAATGCAATACCTTAAGCACTGAAAAACGTATCTTTAGAACATAATTTAGGTAGATTTGAATTTATTACACCTCTTATTTCACTGGTGGTTCAAAATATAGATTAAAGGAACTGGAATACAGGTGAATGTATTTTATATGATTAACTATTTGTATTTTTTCTGCTCAGTTCTTAATTCTTGTAGACTGACAGAGTACCTAGAAAGACAGCACAGAAAAATAGGAGATGGCTAAATTGCATCAGTCCATGAATGAACAGCTAAGATACAATGACTCTGAGGCTTGTCCTTGAGATCCATTATCCCTCTAATTTCTCCTTACTCTGAAGAATTAAGAAATGTCTTTCTACTATAATAGGCCGACATATACAAAGTGGTAGATGACTAGGGTTATGGAAAACCAGGGCTTTGTTGATTTATTTTCTTCCTCCCTCCCTCCTACCACCTCTTGAAAGAGTTGAACTCTCAGGAAAGTCATTCATCCTTTCCTCACAGTGGGCCACAGGTAAAAACTTGGAAAAGTTGAACAACAAAATAAATTGGACCTGCCCACTGATTTCTGTTTTTAAAATACTTGCTGATACTTGCAACCCTACTGAAAATGACACATGCTAGGAGGCTTCAGATCGGATACTTCTCAATGTATTTCAGGAGTGCAATAAAGTTGAAATACATTAAGAAAAAAAAACATTCCTTTTTCTCATAACACTGGAAAATAAGAGCACGTTTAAACTTTCAGAGGAACAGACCAGAGTTCTAGCAAGTGCTTTTTAATATTGCAAATGGAAAACAATTACTATTCTGAGAGAGATACAGAAGCTCTCTGATACAATGGAAGCAATATATTTTCCTGAGTTCCTTTAGGCGGTTTCTGTCCTAAACCTGCAAAGGCATGCACAAGTCTAACTTGATCTACATTCATGTTTCTGTTTGGAACTTGCAACAGTATAATAAAATAGACCTCATCTAATCAGGTATGAGCTATACGTTACATTCATTGCTTTCTCTCACATCATTTTATTTACTTTTTGTCAACCATAAAACCAAAAATAAAATATGAATACGTTCCAATGTGCACAACACATTAAACATGAAAACAAAAGTGTTGTAGTCTGTTATTAAAAAGCTCTACCCCTCAACCTCAACCGCAACCCCAACCCAAAAAATTTTGAGGGAGGAAAAAATTATCTGTGTTCTTGCCTACCTCAGTATTATGTCAACAGGGAGAAACTCCACACACAAAAGTACTGAAGAGAAGAGAAGAGAAGAGAAGAGAAGAGAAGAGAAGAGAAGAGAAGAGAAGAGAAGAGAAGAAAGAGAAGAGAAAAGGGAAGAGAAGAAGAGAGAGGAGAGGAGAGGAGAGGAGAGGAGAGGAGAGGAGAGGAGAGGAGAGGAGAGGAGAGGAGAGGAGAGGAGAGGAGAGGAGAGGAGAGGAGAGGAGAGGAAGGGAAAGGGAAGGGAAGAGAAAGGGAAAGGGAAGGGAAGAGAAAGGGAAAGGGAAGGGAAGAGAAAGGGAAAGGGAAGGGAAGAGAAAGGGAAGGGAAGGGAAAGGGAAGGGAAAGGGAAGGGAAGGAAAAAAGAAAAAAGAATCAAGAAAAAAAAAGAGAAAAAAAGAAAAAAGATAAGATAGAGAAGAAAAGAGAAGAAAAGAGAAGAAAAGAAAAAAGAAAAGAAGAAAAGAAAGAAAAGAAAAGAAAAGAAGAGAAAAGAAAAGAAAAGAGAAAAGAAAAAAGAAAAGAAAAGAAAAGAAAAGAAAAGAAAAGAAAAGAAAAGAAAAGAAAAGAAAAGAAAAGAAAAGAAAAGAAAAAAGAGAAAAGGAAAGAAAAGGAAAGAAAAGGAAAGAAAAGGAAAGAAAAGGAAAGAAAAGGAAAGAAAAGGAAAGAAAGAAAAGGAAAGAAAAGAAAGGAGAAGGGGAAGGGAAGGGAAGGGAAGGGAAGGGAAGGGAAGGGAAGGGAAGGAGGAAGGAAGGGAGGAAGGAAGGAGAAAGAAAAAGAAAGAAAAAGAAAAAGAAAAAGAAAAAGAAAAAGAAAAAGAAAAAAGAAAAAGAAGAAGAAAAAGAAAAAGAAAAAGAAAAAAAGAAAAAGAAAAAGAAAAAAAGAAAAAGAAAAAGAAAAAAGAAAAAGAAAAAGAAAAAGAAAAAGAAAAAGAAAAAGAAAAAGAAAAAAAGAAAAAGAAAAAGAAAAAAGAAAAAGAAAAAGAAAAAGAAAAAGAAAAAGAAAAAGAAAAAGAAAAAGAAAGAAAGAAAAAGAGAAAGAAAGAAAGAAACACCTCACAAAGTTTTCTGTACTATTATCTGTTATCTGTATCTATTTGCTGGCTTTAGAGGTCTTAATTAATTCTTGCTGGTTTCATTTCTCATGGTTAACACCCATACTTTACCATAAGAGTTCTGGTTCCTTTTTAAAAAAAGAATAAAATTTGCATATGGCTCCCATACAGAACCATCAGAACTAACTTTTTTCTGAAATGGATATTTTTACTTGTCTTCTCAGCAAAATTAAAATGGATGGGGATATGCATGAGGAAAAAATCAGTAACAAGGAAAGGAACAATTTTGTTTTATGTAACAAGCTGGATTTTCTACTACCAACAGAATTTATGGACACTTTACTGCTGGATTATAATTTTTAATTTTTTATTACTTTTGCTAAATGTAATACCAGTTTAGAGTTTTAGCTGGGCATATTTTTAGATGACACTTCCCTCCTAAAGCTCCTAAAGTTCTCTTTATGTATATTTTTATATTTATTTATACACGCCAACACTATTTTTTTGAGGGGGATTCTCGACAATTTTCTGAGTGCTAACTTGTCCCTGCACTTCAGCAGAGGAACATGGACTTCTACAGAACCACATGAAGGTGGGAGGCAGACAAGCATAGTGATTAGACCGATCAAAGTTTAAGTCTCAGTGTCATTTTCAAAATAGGCTGTGATAGTGCTGGCACTTCCACCCTGCATCTCAAAACTTACTTGGCACTTCCACCCTTCATCTAAAGCCTTAAGAACACCCTGCATCTCAACTCTTAAGAAACTCCATGCACTACATCCAGTATGGGATCCACAGTCATTTTCTTCCCATAGCTGGCTAGTCTAGCAACAAAGTATACGCTCTCAGGGGTGTTTAGTCTGAACTGAGTCACTCTATCAGGGCCATGATGCACCAGCCATGTCCTTCTAGCCTTCCACATGCCAACTGCCCTTTCACAGAATCCCAAGGGTCGGAAGGGACCTCAAAAGATCATCTAGTCCAACCCCCCTGCAAGAGCAGGGTAACCTAGAGTACATCACACAGGAACTTGTCCAGGCGGGCCTTGAATATCTCCAACGTAGGAGACTCCACAACCCCCCTGGGCAACCTGTTCCAGTACTCTGTCACTCTCACAGTAAAGAAATTTTTCCTGATGTTCACATGGAACCTCCTATGCTCCAGTTTACACCCATTGCCCCTTGTCCTATCACTGGACATCACTGAAAAAAACCCAGCTCCGTCATCCTGACATTCACCCTTTACATATTTGTAAACACTGGTGAGGTCACCCCTCAGTCTCCTCCTCTCCAAGCTAAAGAGTCCCAGCTCCCACAGCCTCTCCTCATAAGGGAGATGCTCCATTCCCTTAATCATCTTTGTAGCTCTGCGCTGGACTCTCTCCAGCAGCTCCCTGTCCTTCTTGAACTGAGGGGCCCAGAACTGGACACAATATTCCAGATGCGGTCTCACTAGGGCAGAGTAGAGGGGGAGGAGGACCTCTCTCGACCTACTAACCACCCCCCTTCTAATACACCCCAGGATGCCATTGGCCTTCTTGGCCACAAGAGCACATTGCTGGCTCATGGTCATCCTCCTATCCACCAGAACCCCCAGGTCTCTTTCCCCTTCACTACTGTCCAGCAGGTCAGCCCCCAACCTGTACTGGTACATGGGGTTGCTCTTCCCCAGATGCAAGACTCTGCACTTGCCCTTGTTGAATTTCATCAAGCTTCCCCCCGCCCAGCTCTCCAGCCTGTCCTGGTCTCGCGGAATGGCAGCACAGCCTTCTGGCGTGTCAGCCACTCCTCCCAGTTTAGTATCATCAGCAAACTTGCTAGGGTACACTCAGTTCCCTCATCCAGATCGTTGATGAAAATATTAAACAGCACTGGTCCCAGCACCGACCCCTGAGGGACTCCACTAGTCACAGACCTCCAGCTAGATTCTGCCCCATTAACCACAACTCTCTGCCTTCTTCCTTCCAACCAGTTCTTGATCCACCTCACTACGTGATCATCAAGCCCACACTTCCTTAGCTTATCTATGAGGATGCTGTGGGAGACAGTATCAAATGCCTTACTGAAATCAAGAAAAAACACATCTACCGCTCTACCATCATCCAGCCACCTAGTTACTTCCTCATAGAAGGCTATAAGGTTGGTCAAACATGACTTCCCCTTGCTAAAACCATGTTGGCTGCTCTTAATGACCCCCTCATCCTTGATATGTCTAGAGATGGTGTCGAGAGATAGCTCTGCTGGACTCAGACATTCTTCATCTGTGTTGTTACTAAAGATCATGTCATTTACTTCATAAGGATTACCCAACTCATACCAAGTTTCTGTGTTTTAATTACAAAAAGTTGGTAGCAAAAGTTGCACTAATTTAAAAAGCTGCATTCATTAAAAATACCTAGCAAAATATTGTTTTAAAACCTGGTTCTCCTACTGTATTTTTCTCCTTTTGGCTTCTTGGCATACATTCTACAGATCAGTGGCCGCTTAAAAGTAATGGCTGGTAGATTAAAAGAGTCCAGAAAATAATGCAGTCTGAAAGACAAGTTCATATCACACACCCACGGCTAACCTTCTAAAAGTTTCACATTTGAATTTAAACTACTCACCCTTGTTTACCTCCAGAATTAAAGAAGAAATAGAGACAACTGCAGAACTACCCTAAACATTAAACTTAGAATGACATACACGTACTCCTGGAGGCTGTAGCTTCTCACAGTGCACTGACAATAAAAGAATCCTGGGCTTACTATTACAGGATTGGATGTGCTTCTTTTAGATGTCCATGTGAGGACAAATCAACCCTATTTTACTGGCAAGGGGAGGAATACCACAGACCAACAACGCAAACCACCAAATCATCATCTGATGCATTATTGCCACAGGATGTTGGAGTTTGATTTGGTTTAGTTGGGTTTGGTTTGGTTGGCAGGAAGTGTGGGAAAGGTGTTACTTAGGAAAAAAAAAGCTAAACTGAAGGAAAAGAGAAGCAGAGAGCACATAAAAGAAAAGGAAGCAAAAGCAGTTATGCAAAGGAACCAAGAGGGTGTAAGAGTGTGGCTTAGCACTTCAGCACAGGGCTGGGCAAATCCGAAAGAAAGATGTTTGGAATATCACAAATGCATACATCAGCTGTTTCTGAAACTACACTATGATGGGACTGAATTCTCTGTTGGTTCACCTCTGCATTTTCCCTCTGCAGCAGAGAAGTATGAACATTTGGGTCATCCCCATTGTAAAATGAAAGTCTCCCTTCTACTATTCTTAGTCCAGAGCAGATGATGGAGAGAGGTGATTCTAGCTGAGCTTGATTGAAACATCCCACACTCTGATGCCATTATAAGTCCTTCTGCTGTGACCTGCAGAGCAAGTGTTCCTGTAAAAACTGATTCATTAACTGTAAAAAAAATATATCTTTTAAATGTATATAGCCAAAAAATGCACAAATGCTCTAAGATAGTGCTTCTCAGATGCTTTAGACCAGTGGACTATCACTAGCCCTTGACATTTTTAAAGACCATTACAAATGTTGTCAAGGACATGTCATACATTTACTCCCAACTATAGTCCCGCAGACCAGCTGTGGGTCCTTTCTGATATCCTGGGGGAGTGTTCTCAGTGTGTAGCTTGCAGTTCAATAGCCATTGCTGGGGCTTGAGGGCTTGAATGTGAAAGGCATGGAGAACTGGCTGAACAGTGAAATGGACCTGGCTGGTTTTAACATCAAGCTGAGTGAAACACAAAAGATAAAGAGATTTAAGATTTACTGTAGATCTAAAATGGAATAGATCTAAAAGCCTTTTATTGGAATTAAAAAAAAATCTTTTAGTAATCTGAGGTATTTTTAGTAACATAGGTGTCAGTTTTAGTAATTATTAAGCATGTGCAGCTCTCACTGAATCCAGTCAGAACTGAAGATAACAGAACTGTCAATGTTTGGACTGCTGTCATGTACAAAACAGTTTTCTCTTTTAATCCGCTTCCATCCTAAACCAAATTGCCTTTACGGCTGCATAACATGTTGTAGCCTGAAAATAACCTACAGCAGTACTATTACTAGATGTGCCCATAACATGATATATTTAAACTCTAGTGGTTCAATACATGGCTGCCATGTTATCCAATTTACAAAAGGGAATTTATGCAGAGGAAGATCCTATTGATCTTTTCTACCAGTACATAATAGAGGTATAGTAGATGTCACAACAGCTCAGTTCATTTTCCTTGGTTTTATGAGCTAACAAGCTACATTCTAAATTATTTTAAAAGTTTGCTCCTGCTCACCTTAATATTTATAGTTATATAATAGCCTGTTAATAGAGACAACACTGTAGTCAAGACTCTGTTTTTATGACTGCCCGTAATCTATGCTTAAGAACTCTAATCATACTTGATTTTCCATGCACACAAGTATAAACATTTTACATAATACTTTTACTACAATTTATACTACTGTGAAGAGCTATTTATTTAAGGCTTTGGCACTAGATATTGTATATCCATAGCTTTTCACAAACATCCAAATTTTGATCTTGATAATCTTCAGATCTCTTATTTGTAATCTGGAAACGATTATTCTTGAATAAGGCTTTCAAGGCTGAGCCCAAAGTTTGAAACCATGAATGTGAAATAGGTTGCTATTAATATTTTTAAATCAATATTAGATAGATGGATTTTTTTTTCTTAGAACCAGCCAAGATGATTTAGAGCTGTATCTGATCAACAAATAAAACAATTTATTCAAGTATGTTCAGCTCATTGTTTATCATTTAAGTGATTAATTCTTGACTAAGGTAGCAGGAATAAGGTAGTGCATTTTTTTTTTCTGATACTCCTCCTTGAAGGAAAGGCAGAATGGGAGCTATTAGCTCTAATGACTCTTAAATGTTTCAAAGCCATCATTCAAAGCCCCATCTGCCAAGGGGCAGAAATGTTAATGTTTGCTGAAAGAACCCACGGCTTAACTGAATTATCTATTTTCTTATCCAAAGGACTTTGAAGTAGCATCACTGAGACAATGTGTTATTCTCTTCAAGACAATTATCCAGCACTGATGAGGGACAGGAGGGGCTACATTTACTCTTCCTAAAACTGATTCTTATGAGTCAGAAGCCATGACTCAGACTGGCCAGTTGGCATCAGAGAGAAGATAGCTTGGTTGCTTCGTATCTTGGGAAGGGGAGGAAAAATAAACAAACCCCTTCCTTGACACTTGATCACAGAGGAGAGGATCACAACATTACAATTCATGAAGCAGATATTCAGTCAGCATGAACTGGAACAGGCCCACAAAAAGAGTGAAAACAATGAATCTTCACAAACTAACATCAGATGACAACAGGCTCTCAAAGATAAAACCACAATTTTGTCAGACAAGTTCAGCAGAGAAGCCTTAAAAAGCAACACATCTAAAAGCTCCCACAGTGCTATAAATCAAATGAACTAACACTTCTCATTTTAATACAGAATTGTACATACCATGTACCCCCAAAGCACTTTTGCACCTTGGGAAGTATAATGGATACTCCCACATTTTGAGTCTTGGGGTGATAGGTCAGCTGCCTGACTGATGCATACCCATACCAAGGACAGACACTGAGAGACGACCACTAACACCAGCTCCAGGGAGACGGCAACAGCAGTGTTATTTATAACAAACCCTTCTAGTGAACTGGACAGATTTGCTTCCAGGACAGCCTTGCTTTAGTCTTTGGCCTTCCTGCAATTCTTTACGAATTCAGCAATGAAGTGGTAAGGCCATGGTGAGAAAGTATCAGCTCCAAACTGGGGAATTGCTACATAGGAAAAGCCACTGCAGTGGAGGTGATTGGGTGCTCACTGTGTGGATTCTTGAGCTCTACCAGTACATTATTTGCAGAGAAATAGTAGACATTCATCTACCAGTCATTTCTCACTTTCTAAGAGGCAGCTATGGTCATATAGTCTCATCACATCCATATTTGTTTTTATTTTTTTTTATATTTTATCATTAAAAGCTTCCCAAATATGTTCCTTCCTGCTTTTTCTAGCAGTGTGAAGTATGGTTCTCCAACTCTGATCTTTTTTTTTTTTTTCTCTGCCTGATCTAAGTCCTTTAATTAGCCAGATTCTCCATCAGTTCCAGGATTTTATGCTTTGTTTTTTTTTTTCTTTGCATGTAGATGTTGCACCTTTGTTCATGAAACATCTTTCCACTCTTTCATCAGGTCTGGGGCTGTAATGCTGTTGTCCTGTGGTGGCACCTGAAAAGAACATGTAAAGAAGAAACAGTGAATATATGAAGTCCAGTGTATTCTTTCCAATGTATTTCAGACATAATATACATGAAAAAGTGGTTTGTGCATTAACTGCTGCTTCTCACAGCCTTTATTTATGTCATTTTCATCTTTCACCTTCCTTATCCTGTAGTGTCACATTGGAAGAACATAACACTGAAAGAAAAAAAAAACAACAAAACAAACTAAAACTTTTTTGAGGTAAATGCAAGAGAGTTTGAAAATAAAAAAAACCAAATCTTTTAAATTACCATATGTATTCACAACAGGAAACACATTATGCACAAATCTTGAGCTCTTGAACAGTCAAGAGAAAGACTTCTGAGCTGATAAAAATGCAAATGTTTACAGATAGGCCTCTTTCCTAAGGGGTGGGGGGTTTCAGAGTGAATTGCACAATATCGTTTTGTACCACAAGGTCATTGCTAGGCGGCATGGGCGGATGATAGAACAATTTGATCATTGTGACACCTACAAGATGAGTGAGAGGTCAATGGCTTGCTTATCTAGATGGCTGTCTGGTCTTTCAGTCAATAGACTGATCTGTTAGGACACAGGATGCTGGAACCATCAAAAGATACAGCCTCCCTTGCCCAGCAGGAATGGAACAGAGCCCCAGCCAGGGGGAATCTTTTGTGATCTTCTCCAGAGTGGTCTGTGGAGTGGGGTCAAACAATAATACTACTGCGCTGAGAAAGCCGACTGGGAGAAGTGTAGCTGGTACAGAAAACTTTTGGCTCTGCAAGTGCCATGGAAGCTTTGGGCATTCATCTCTGAATGCTCACAAATAAACTTTCTCCCAACTTTTCATGCTTTCTCTGTTCTCTCCAGTTTCATCAAATTTAATTAAGTGACTGAGTTTGAACACGAGCAGGGTAGCAGGGTAGTCAAGAAACGAGTTTCAAATAAAATAAAGTTTAGATCTATGCACAAACTACAAAGAGTCTGTTTCCTATTTTCTCGCGTCAAGCCTCTCATCTGATCTTGCCAAAAGGCCCCTCCCTCATTCAATGTGGGATGGGATGTGAGGTGGTCACTTAGACTTTGGTCGCCTCAAAAGCTGTAATAATCCAAATACTCTGATTCATACTCTTCATGTTAAAAGTCTCATAGTAAGTAGACCAGATTCAGGCAACCCACTTAAATTCTCTGTGACACATTTTCTGGGTCTGTTAAGACTATGATACTTGTGTTGTTAGTGCTGGTCACAGAATGAGTTGAGCTATTGTCACTGATTTGTCAAGTCTGGCCTTTCCAAATTGTCTTTGAGCCATGCAGAATTTTCCTGAAATGGTAATGCTTCCTCAAAAGTTAAATGAAAGATCTCCAGAAATATTCTTTTGTGCATCTTGGTTTTGCTTGCTTTATATCACTGGTGACCTACATTACATGGAATGTTTTCTGTTAGTCAGTGACATGCCCTAACCTTTAGAAATAAGAGTGCCTATTTTCTCACAAAAATCATGAAGCTTTATAGCTTGAGGTTTACTTCTAGCTCTTCCTCCAGGAGAAGATTGTGTAGAGTCAGAAGGAATTTCTTCTCACTTTCAGTCTTTGTATTCCATGTTTTTATGCTGTCTTTTGATATCAGTGCAAAAGGAACATTAAAGAACAACTATTTTGTGCCTTGAAAAATGTATGCACTTAGAGAATTCCACCATAACAGTATCACAAAAAAATTAATGTTGATGTGTACCCCTCCCACCTTTGCTTCCTTCCTGCAAAATAAATAGGATATTATTCCCATTTCACAGACAAAGAACTGAAGCACAATCTACCTACCTTCCCTAAGACAAAAGGAAGCAGGTACAGACATGTACTCAAACTGCAATACGTTGAACACATCATCTCCTTCTTAGCTGTACCAAAGCTAATTTTGTCTGCCTGGGAGATATGACAGAACTGTGCAGAACACATCTGCCAGTCTTACAAAGCTGTATCCAGAAATGCAATTTCCAAGTGCCTGGGGAAGCCTTGCTGAGCTACAGCCATCAGTGCAGAGGAGGGTGCTGAGCTCCAAGCAGAAGGTAAGAGAATTTCTTTCATATGCATTCAGATAGTTTTATATTCTCCTTCTGGGAAGAAATGCAAGAAATCTCCTCAACAGAACAGTCTGCAGGGTTGCTGACCTCAGTATTTTGATTTTTCAATTGACCTCTAGATGTAGAGAGGTAAGGTAGTATTTTTAGCAACATCCAGAATGGGCAGGAGCCATTTACTGCTCACAGTCTTATTTGATTGCCTCTCTTGAACAAGCAGAAAAAATGTAACAGGCATTCAGGTAAGAACGAAAGAGACAATGAAGCTCAGGAAAGGCATGATAATAACGTAGTTAGGATGATTTATTTATTTGCCAGTCCTTGTAGGCTGTTTTATGCTGACTTCATCCTGTTGCTTTAACCCTCTAGGCTCTGCACCATCTCGGGTCTGCAACAGTAGGGATACACCAGCTTCTCCGCTTCGTTTCTTCTGCAGCACCGGCTCTGGCAGCGGCGGGATCTGAGCGGTAACAAAGGAGAGGCAGGGTATTTATGGTAGGCTCAGGGAACCCGACAGCCTGTGGCACAGCTGGCCAGTCATTCCAGTGAGGTGCCCAGCGGAGGGGCGGGTAGGATGTGAAAACAAGGCTGGAAAAAACACACGAAGTGGTTACAGAATTACATATAGCTTATGGATAGGCATTTTTCACTGCGGGGTGCGTGTGATGTACTACACTGGAAGAACTGAAATCAGGGTCTTTAATTTCCAGTTTAATTCCAAGCCCTGTTACTTCCCCAAACACCTCACTTGGGCTCAGGCCTTCATAACCCCATTTATTTTTCTATCTCCAACCGAAGAGCCTTCAGCTGGAGACGGAGAGGTGCTGAACACCTGTGGCCCCTTTACGTTCCCCGTCCTCCTGCGGGAGCTGCCAGGGTCCCCTGACAGGCAGGCAGGCCTGACGGGCGGCTGGACTCGCTGCTCCGCGGTGCCCACCACCAGCAGCGACCGCCACGCTCGCTCCCTCCGTTCCGGACCTTCCCAAGGGGACCCCACCCTGAGCTCCTCGGGCAGCCCGGTTCATTCCCGCAACCGCGGCAGAGCCTCTCCCGGGCTCCGCCGTGTCCCCCGCGGCCGCTGCTCCCACAAGCACCGACCCGGCGCTCAGCACCAGCCGGCTGCCCTCCTCGGCACAGGAAGGCCGCAAGGCGCCGGCGCCGCGGGGACAGCGCAGCACAGCGACCCCGCGCCCCCGTGGGGCAGAGGCGAACCGCGCCCCGGCGGACGGTTCGGGCGGCCCCGCACGGTCACGCCCCCCTCAGGCGGTGTCGCCGCCGCCCCCGGGACGGCCCCGGCTCCCGCCCACAGGGGCAACCGGCGCGTTCCGGCCCGCCCCTTGCGGGACCGCAGCCTCTCCCGCTGCCGCCGCCGGGGGGATCCCCGCCCCGCCGAGGCAGTCCCCGTCCCGTCTGGCGGCGGCCCCGCTACGCGCGGGAGGAGGGGGGGGACACACACAGTCACGCGACCCGCCCCTTTCGCAGCCCGCCCCGCGGGAGTCGCTCGTGGCAAAGTCACCGACCCCCGAAGCCCGCCGGGCTCCATCAAACGCCGCGGCACCGCCCACCGACGTCATGGAAACAAGCGCGTCAGCAGCCCGCCCGCCAGTGGCGGCCGCGGAGGGGCGGGGCGAGGTGTGGGGCCACGCCCCCGCAGGCGCCGTGCCTATCGGCGCCCCCCCCCGCCACCTCTCCCATTGAAGACGCCGCACGTCAGGACCCCCCCTTCCCTGGGCTCGCAAGGGGCACCGTCACGTGACCCGCGCTCCACAGGCGGCGAGGGGGGCGGCGGGCACCGGCGGCTGCGGCAGGGGAGAGGAGAGGAGAGGGGGGAGCGGACAAGTGAGTGACCGCGGCGGGCGGAGGAGGGAGGCGGGCGGATCGCTGCGTCCCGCCCCGCCCTGCCCGGTGGCGCCCAGCTCCTGTAGCGGTTGTTCTGCGGCGCGGTCGGCGCTGCCCGGTGCGTGCGGGGGAAAGGAGGCGGGCGGGCCCCGGAGAACGGCGGCGGCAGCGCCCGCCAGGAGGGCGAATCGTTGGTTCCTGCCGGTGAGGCGACGGGGGCGGGGCGGTCTGTCCGCATCCCCCCACCCCCCTTCCTCCCCCGGCTGTCCCCGCACCGGTTCCCCCTCCCTCTTGCCTTCTCCCCCTCCCTCCCCAATTCGGTCGCCGCTTCCCCCCCGCCCCCTCTCCCGCCCTCCTCCCGTGGCCGCAGGGCGGGTCGGCGTGGCGGGGCCGGCCGGCCGTGGGCTGGGCGGAGAGCGTGGGGACCTTGTGCGCTCGGCGAGAGAGCGGGCGGGCGGCGGCAGGTTCACGGGCACCTTTTCCCGGCCCGCGGCGGGGTCGGCCCCGCGGCGCCGAGGTAAGGACGGCGGGGCGGCGTGGAGCAGATCTTCTCCCGGCTGGCTGGCCGCGGCGGGCAGCGGCGCGGCGGCAGGTGCAGCGTTGCTCCGTTCACGCCGTGGGGCTGCGGGCCGTGGCACGGCTCGGCCGGGGAGGCGGCGAGCGGCGCGGCTGCTTGCGGCGGGGCGGTGATGGCAGCGGGACCGCCGGTGGGGCTGGGTGCTGCGTCCAGAGCTGTCGCCGGTTTTCCCCCCAGGTAGCCGGAGCGCGCACCTAGACACCGCCGTGCAGCCGGGGCGCGACGTGACCTTGAGGGCAGCGGATGCGGGGCTAAGCCTCCGCGGGAGCGCAGCCGCCGGGAGCGGCGCCGCCACGGACCGCGCGACCGGGCATGGCCGGCCAGCCGCAGCCCCCGGGGCGGGCGCGCACGCACACGCCACGGGTTAAGGTGGTGCTCAGCTCCCGCCGCTAGCCGGGTTAAGTAGCCGGGATTAGCCCGCTGCGGCTTTACGACACCCACATCCTGGGCGCTTCTCTGCCGCCCCGCGGGGGCCGGGAGCCCGGCACCCGCACCCGGCAGCCTCCTCCCTCCCTCGCCCGCCCGCCGCGCCCCCGGGGCGGTGTTTTTGGCCGCGGCAGGGTCGTACGCCGCGCTCTGTCGGAGCGGGCGGGCTGTTTTGATTTATCGATTCCTGGCCGGGCTGCTCATCAATCGGCGCGGGCGCCGAAGGGATGCGGCGGCGCTTCGGTAGCCGGGAGAGTGGAGCCGTCGCGGGCGTCATTCCGGGGGTGATCGCGGGGCAGCTCCGCTGAGGGACGCGCCTCTGACCGAGGCGGCGGTGCCATCCTTGCCCCGGCGGTGCGTGTAACCTTTGAATGCGGCACCACGTGAGTTCGGGAGCGGGCCGGAGCCTCCGCTGGGGTTGGGGGCGGCTGCCCAGTGCGGTAGGAGAGAGCGCTCGATGCTTACTTATGGTGGAACCGTGTGGCGGGAGGGCGACTGTCCGCGCCGAAGCTTACCCGGGCCTCCCGCCGAGCCCTTCGGGCTGTCGGAAGAGGCTGAGTTCGGAAGGATTTAGGATTTCGGGAGGAAGGTCTTCTGAAAAGCGGTGCGAGCGGTGGTTGCCGGAGGGGTCGGGGTGTCAGCCTGAGCCCCGAGAAGCGTTCGGGGAGCTGCGGGTGAGTCTGCCGCAGGTTTTGCGACCTGAGGGGCAACCTATTTGCACAGCTGTAATAGGAGTCGATGCGCTGCTATGCATGTTTCACACTCCACATAAATCCTTACTAATATTTAAATGGGTATTTTTTTTCCACGTTTTACTTTTTAAACTGTATGAGAAGGGAGAAACTAAAGAAAGATGCAGGGGAATAAAATTTCGGAGGCTCTTTTTCGTATCATTTTAAGATCCTTATTACAGAAATTCATCAATATCTATTATATACAGCATTCTTAAACTTTTAACTTAAGGTGCTGAGGCTTTCTTCCCAAGGCTTGTTCCAAAGGAACTGGTGATAATACCTCGTGCCTTGTCTTAAATCGTCATTCTTAGAAGGTGTTTGCGCTGGTGTCTGGCTCCACGTCTGAGAGGTGACTTATCTAGGTGAATATTAAAATCACATCCCTTAACGTGTCCCTTCTTGGAAGCAGAGTCCCCAGGCAAACGTGCCTGTGAAACATGTCTCGCATCATTACTGGTTGACAGTTTTGGCTTGCTGGGGGAAAAAGTAGAGTGTGCCTTTGGAAAATCTGTCCAGAAGCTGCTGCGTCTTTAAAACACTTTTGGGTCCTAATGAATTTGAGTTGAAATAGTTTTTTTAGGTGCTTGAAAAGATCTTGACTGGGTAACTTGCCAACTCCTTGGTTTGTCATACGGTGTATTCAGAAGATGGTAGCTGTAGCCAGTGCCATTCTCTCTCTCTCTCCCCCCGCCCCCCCCCCCCCCCCGTTGGAGCTTTTCAAGGATTTGTTCCAAATGCCACAAATCATGAATTCCAGCAGAAGTAAACTTGTGTATCTTTAAACTGTTGGCTCTTTTGGCAGGAATAGCTTCCAATGTACTAGAACTTTAATACTTATGGCATAATGAATGGAAAGTCTCTCGGTGTCAGTGGAAAAAGTGGTCACTGAATTCAGTGAGCTAAAAACCCCTTGTACACTTCAATGAGAAATTTTCGGTCTGGAACAGCATTGTTGGGTGGTTCAGTGTATTGCTGCTCTTCTGTACATTTCGGTAACCCACCCAGGTTGGGTTATCTCAAGAAACAGGGATTCTGCGTTGTGAATGGACACCTGCAGGTTTTCCCAATCAATGTTGCTATCTCTGTGCCAAATTGCAATATTACTGCTTCATTCAAAGAAAAAAACTGCTTATCATGTGGGTAACTAAAATGATACAAGTTGAAACTAATTTTAAAGGGAATTGTGGCTGTAGTCTATGTATGCGCACATACAGTGACTCACTGTTGCATATTAAGCAGATGTGTTTGGGAACTTAAAGCAGAAAACAGACTAGTGCACATTAGCATTGGGTAAAGTGCGTATTGATTTCTTAAAGTTGCATTGCATACAGATTTAGATATAATAAAAGCATCCCCATCCAATTAATATACAACTAGCTAATAATCTGTAAGTCATCCTACCAATTAAAATGCTCTGCAGTCTAATATTAGAATCTTGTTCAGGAAGTGACTCTTTCATGGACCATGATATAGAGAACTTTTGTCAGCTGGTAAAATTGACAACCTCTAAACCATGGTGTGTGAGCTTAACAGGAAGCTGAGAGGTTTGTAAGTGTCCTGCAGCAATTACTTTTATTACTTTTTTTTTTTAACAATTTGAGCTTAGTCAGAAATGGAGTGTTGTAAACCAGAGACAGCCGTAAGGTGAAGATACTAAGAAGGAAGAATCAGAGGTTGGTTCTGATGAAGCCACCTCAAAACCAGATGCTTTGGAAGAATTAACTTTGCTAACATGTAAGATTTTAGAGCTGGGAACTCAGTATTAATTGACCAGTTCAAAATGGAGCTGGCAAAGCAATCAATAACATGCCATAGCAAGCAAGTCTCCCTTGACATAAGGGTGGACAAGATAACCTAAAGTGTCTTCTAACTCAAATTTCTTCCATTAAGGTAGACTAAATATTAATGGCAGTGAGCATTCTTTAATGCTGAAATGTGACCTCAGTGATGTTTTTTCAGCGTTTCAGCTGTTTATTTTAATATATGTTCTCTTCTGGTTTGAAAGGGAAAATAGCGCTAGTGCAGCAAGGATCCGCAGTTTGCTCTGAGTTGAAGTTGGATTTCAGTTTGCAAAATTTAATCCAGTGCAGAATAATGAACAGCCATGATTAGCCCAGGGCATTTAAATGTAAATTTCTTCTGAGAAATAAGGAAAACTGCTTGCATCTGTAGCAGATTTTGTTAGAGAAATGCATGCTTACTTGCCTCTAAAAGGATCAATAAAGTAGCAGTAATATTCTTAAATTTGTACTCTTTAGTGTTAACTTGTCTTAAAATGAATAATAATAATAATAGGACTTGTTAAAAGCTGCTGTTCAGAAGATAGTGATCTTTCTCTCTAGAGTATTTTAATTAAAAATGAGATAAAATCTAGGGGTTGCAATTTTGTGTCTAAGATTAGCTTTGCCTACTGGCTTGCTATAGTGTGTGCAACAGTCTCAAGTAGGTTTATTTTGGGTTTGTTTTTTTTTTTAATTTTTTATTTTTATTCAAACCTGTTGAAATTTTTCTTAAAGCCATTTTTTTCCTTACCAAGTTAACTGATTGAAGTGCAAGGACGGCAGCAAACACACGATACTGTTGCCTGTTTGAAAAAGAAGAGTGAACCTATGATAATTTTATGTACAGGATGGGTATTTCTCACAAGCATTAAGAATTACTAATCTAACTCAAACTGGCTTGTCTTTAGATTTGGATTTCTTCACTTTTAACAATCACTAGTGTTAGTTTTCCCCTAGCTTTAGCTTCAGTTAGTTCAAGCAACCATGTTCACTAATTGCACAGCAGAATAATAAAAAATACAAAAGGATTTTTTGTTCATGAAGCCTCCTATATGTTTCTAGCCACATGTGAAAACTAAAATGTGTTCAGAGTCTCTGAAATGGGGCAGTTGCATGCAGAAGATGGAAGCAGTGGTCATAAGCAGTACAGAAGATAACCTACAGTGAAACCAGTGGGCAATATATTGGACTAAGCCATTTTGGAACAGTCACACCTTTTCATACTGAATGTAATTTCAACACAAGTACATGGTATTGTCCAGTTAGTATTTTATTTCTAAATTATGAGGCTTTCAGCTGCAGTTTAAAAATGAGTTTCTGGTTTTCATGACAGGTTTCACT